AAAACCAAACAAACAAAAAAAAAAGAAATACAAAGGCATATAATGTACTTGAACAAAATCTTAATATCAAAAGTGTCAGTTTTACCAAAATTAACAAATAAATTTCAAGGATTTGCAATTAGAATATTAATTGGAATACTAGTGCAGCTTGTTTTGTTTGGAGTTTTACAATTTGAATTGAAAACACTCAAGTTTAAACATGATATCATGAAATAAATAAAAGCATGAAATGAGTTAAATTTGTCTTTCCAGATATTAGAACTTTTATTCCTCTATTAGTCAGGATGATCAATCACATGGTGAGTAATGAATTAATCCCCCGTCCTGGTAAATTAACGCAATGAAAGTTCATCTCTTGCTCATGATACATGTCCATAATGTTTTGGCAGAAGCCTGAGTTACACAGTCACTGGGAACTGAAGGTGATAGAGACCCATCTTGTAGCTACATCATTTAGACCATGTAGAATTGGCAGGGAAGAGAGAATACATGGAGAAGTCTGTCTGCCTGTCTCCTTCTTTCTTGCTCAACTTTCCCCCTGGTTTTTATGCTTCAGGCTACATCATCTCTACTATTGGCCTGACTTGGTCACATGGCTCTGCCTAATTGGAGATGAGGAGGGTGCTAGGCAAATTAGGGGATCATATGAAGTATCTGACATTGCCATCGGAATAGACAACTGCACCAGCGGGAAGACTGGAGACTATAAATATTAAATTTAAGTACAATGGTACCTTGGTTCATGAACTTAATTCTTTCCATGATTCTGGTTGAAGGAGCAAATCTAACATGGAGTGAATTCTGTGACCAGAATCATAGAAAGAGTTAAGTTTGTGAACCGAGGTACCACTGTATTTGAAATTTTAACCTATGACAAAATAGTGGTATAATTCACTAGGAAAATGAATAGAGTTATTAAAACTAGCTAACTATATGGAAGAAAATAAGAATAAACATCTTTTACTTACTTCTAATAATATAAAATAAGGACTTGCTGATGAATTAAAGACTTTAACATAAAAAAATTAAACATTTCCAAGAAAATCAATTGTGAAAAAACCTAAGATTTGAGGAGACAGTTTTAAAATCAAGACTAGAAAATTCAAATGTTTCTAAAACAAATATAACTGCATACAAATTATGTATGGTAAATATATAAATTCAGGAGAGAAATAGTAGCATTAGAAAAAATATTTGAAATATTACTGACAGGAAAAGCAGCTATAACTTTAGTTCAAAGACTATTTAGCAAAGAAAAAAAGACAACTAGCAATCCAACCGAAAAGGGGGCAGCATGGGATGTGAATAAAGAGTTTACAGAAGGGAAAATACAAATAGTGAAAAAGAAAGAAAAAAAGGAAAAGGAAGGAAGGAAGGAAGGAAGGAAGGAAGGAAGGAAGGAAGGAAGGAAGGAAGAAAGAAAGAAAGAAAGAATGAATGAATGAAAGAATGAAAGAAAGAAAAAGAAAGTTTTAAAATAAAATTCCCTAGTAGCTAGGAAAATGGAAAATGTACATGTATTATAGCAAAGTTATGATGCTTTGTAGTCATTAGTCCTAGAAAACTTAAAAGACTCATAATACCTGTTACTAGAGTAGACATGGGGAAAGGGTAATCTAACTGTTAGTGAAACATAAGTGTTACATCCTTTTCAAAAGGCAATCTGGAAATGTGAAAGTATAAATAGAAACATGCAGCATACATACATATCTGTATGTGAATATGAATATTATAATGTAAATATTAATATCATTTATAATATAAATATTATTGGTATTACAAATTGCCCAGTAATTCCACTTGGAATCTATTCCATGGGAAGAATGACTGGGATTATACCTCAGAGACAGAGTATTGCCTAGCATGCGTGAGGCCCTGGGTTTGATCCCTGATACCACAGCTAAGGGGAAAGGGAAGGGGAGGGGGAAAGAGAAGGGAAGGGAGGGGGAAGGGAAGGGAAAGGAAGAGGAAGGGAAGGGAAAGGAAGAGGAAGGGAAGGGAAGGGAAGGGAAGGGGAAGGGGAA